GTCTCTTTTCTTTATGGTGCTTCTGTGTACGTCACCGCTTCAGGAAAGCATTTCCGACCCCACATTGCTATATGATTTCGAGTCGTCAGGATGCCCCCTACCCCTCTTAGAAGTTCTGAAACGCTTAACTGAGACACCCTGTATATTAAAACTACGCCACTGCGCCTAATCATAAGATAAAAGGACTAAATTGCACACAATTATACATTTTGAAACCATTAGTTACGAAATAAATAAACTTTATAGTTTACATCTTAATAGTTTACTTTAATTATTATAGCCCAGAATAGAGTAGAAAGATATGTTTTCTTCCAAAAGCCATTCGTCTAATTCATAGAATAGAATTTTTCTTCCATATGATTCTAAATGCCATGGCAATTTTTAATGCATAATAATAATAATAATTATAAAATTAAAGTGATCTGAAAAATTAAATAAAGAAAAATAAATGTTTCAAGTTACCCTTGTTTCATCTGGTTGAGGGCATGCCCATGGCCACTCCTCAACAGCTTTCTGCGTAGCACCACACATATTGCAGCGCCATCTGGTATCGGTATTTACAGTTGCTGCCCCATAACCATCACACGAAGCATTGCACGGAGTTGGAATTTGTTCTTGACAGTGTTCTCGTGGCAGTGGTATATCCGGAGACAGTTTCGCGTCTTTCTTCTTCTTTTTACGATCTTTCTTTCCCCTATTCACTGGTGTTTGAGCAGCTATGGCGTAACGAATGGGTTGCGGCTCTGAGCTGGAAACAGAATCCGGTCTGATGTCACTGCATCTGTTCATCACCTCGGACCGAGCTCTCTTCCTTATCTGCATGTATATTCGTGCGTATGTGACAATCATGGCTACCATCGGACAATAGAAGTTCATAGTGGAAGTGGTCAACTTGAAAACTACGTTGTCCGCAAACTCTGTCTGAAATGAGAGGAATAAGGCCATTAGAAATACAGATGTGTTGCCCTAAAATTATATTGCATGCTGAAGGGCAATTTCTTATCCCCAGTTTAACCTCTTTTCAGAAAAATTGATCAAAAATGGAAAATTTTTTTGAGTGTTTAATTTTGTTCTTCATATGATTATTAGAGAGTTAGAGTGTCTTTGCCGTCAGGTTAACTGTGCGAGGTTTTCCTGATTTCTCTCTCCATGTAACGCTAATGCGTGTTCATCAACATCATCAATGGCTCGACAGCCCAGGTGTGGGCCTTGGCCTTCTCAAGAAGTTTTTTTCAAAGCTAAACTTTTCTCCTGCTAGCATGTTTCAGTTTTTGACAGGCGAATGCTTCATCCCCTGAGTCATCACGGCTCATGTTATTCAATATTTTATATTTCATTTTATAGCCGTCTTTGAACAGCCGACAGAATGTTCAGGTTTATGACTCCTAATGTTCAACTCCGTAGCCTTATTATTTTGAACCCAATACAGAAGACAGACAAGGGAACTCCTGGATCGAGTATTGGGAGAAATTTGCCTTCGTGGAGGAATTTTAGATGGAGCTAACCCGCATTTGCGTTACATGGAGAGGAAGACCACGAGAACCTCTCACTGTTAGCCTGACGGCAAGGGGACTCTAACCCATGATCCGTCTACCACTGAGGATATCTCACGTCAGCACTGTGGTCGGTGGAAGCCGGATGAGGAATTCGTATCGACTAGGATTCGAACCCGGTTCGCCTCATTGGAAGGCGAAATCTCTATCCCCTGAGCCATCGCGACTTCCTAATTCAATATTGAAAGAAGAAAAAAAAAAACTATTTTACAGAAATTTTGGCATTTTTTATCTCTATAATATATGTAGCTTTGAAAAACAGAATAAAAAAATAACGTCCTATTTTTTAGCGTATTTTGATTTAAAAAAATGTTACGCAGCGAGAGGATAAACTAACTACACTCTAAAAACTGTACCTCTTAAATAAAAGGCACAAGCTAAATGTACCCTTCATTTTCTCGTGTTAGAGGCACATAACTAATGTGCCTTTAAAAATGAGAGGCACCACAAGAAATGAAAGGCACCAAAGCAAACGCGAGTCAATGCGCGGTACAACAGGATTTTACCGGTTCCCTGTGCCTCTCAAATGGGCTTCAATTCTTTTTCTTCGGTACGATGTAACGGAGAAGAAGCGCATGCGCACATCAATGAAATATTTTATGACGAAATACAAATAATAAAAGCAGACGATAAAATTAGAACACCAGAAAGTTGTTGATTTTTTAGAATTAGTTTTGTGTGGAATTTGAGTTTTCATATTACCCGTTACGGGTTTATCTAGTTTGTTTTATGATATTTTATCTATCCCGTTACGGGTGAGTTTTCATATATCCCGCTACGGGCACTTTTTCTAGTTTCCTTTATAAGATTTAACTATCCCGTTACGGGTACTTTATATTTGTTATTGTATTTGTTGTGGTGTGAAATAAATGTTTTTATAAAAAAACT